GCCGCTCAGAAGTGACGCACGCGGAGAGATCGAAACAAAATAACGGTCACTAATTAGAAGTACAAAACGAGTATTTGTAAAGAAGAATGTCGGAGGATTTCGATATAATCCAAGAGGAGACTGGTTTTCCTTTGCTAAAGTAAGGAAGCTTTGCTTCTTTTGATCCTGTAAACAAATGTTGGGTTTTCACGAGACGCACCGGCGCATGCGCAATGCTGACCCCATACGTCATTCCCCTGGAACTGCTTCTGTGTACAACTGTTGGCGCAAGCTAGATTCAAGTGATTATTACGTTTTGAATATGGATATATTTTTCTTACAAAAACGCATCGATTCGCTACAGGAGGCCTTTGTTCACCCCTCGGAGCGGTGTGAGACACTTTTTTTTTTTGTGGAAGGGTGCTTTTTATTTCACGTCATTTGAACTGAAGGAATGCAACACCCGCTGAGTACAACGATAGAGCTTGAAAGATCAAAGACAATTTTTAATATAACTCCGACTGGATTCGTCTGAAAGAAGAAAGTCATATACACCTAGGATGCATCGGGGGTGAGTGAAACACAGCCTAATTTTTATTTTTGGGTGAACTAACCCTTTAAAGCACTTAAAATTTTAAACTATTTTTAAGTTTTCTACTTTTACCATAATGTTCAACAATATACAAACAACAAATATATTATATTATATTATATTCTGGTTTGCATCCATCGAGTTCCAAAATAGTCAAATAACCGTTAATTTGTAAAGTAATTAATTCCAGTGTTGGTAAGGTTACTTTGGAAATATAATAGGTTACATATTACAAGTTACCCTATTTAAAATGTTATAAGTAGTGTAACTATTTCAATTACATTTTAAAGTAATGTAACTGATTACATTTGATTACTTTTCTAAATTTCTAATGAATGTTTTCAGCTGTTTCAAAATCTTTCAAAATCCTTCATCTCGTTAAGATTATAAGAATTTAATTTTAAAGCACAGCCACCACATAATTTTTACTTTTTACTTTGAGATTGTTATGAGGTTAAAACAGATTTAAAATCATAACAATAAAATAGTAAATATTAATAGAAGTAGTATTTAGATGTAGCCCTCTTTGTAATCGTTAACATTTTCATAAGTAACTGTAATTTAATTACACATTTTTTTCTCAGTAACTGTAACAGATTACAGTTACATTTATTTTGTAATTCAATTACGTAACGCCGTTACATGTAACTAGTTACTCGCCAACACTGATTAATTCACTGGATTATTCCAAAAGCAGTATATTTACCAGTATATACTGTATATAACACAGTTAATGTTTAAATACAGTTAAAAAGCAAAACAAAATAATGAGATTAAATTAATTTAATTACTTTTAAATAATAACATATTTTAATGTGAAAGCTTTATTTAAATAACTTTGGTTTGTACCACTGGTCAATCTCTTGATTCGATTACTGATGCTACACTAGCCCTCATCATCCTCAGCAGTGGTTTCCATAGCAACTAACCAGTCTGTGATGTAGTGATGTTGAAGCAAAGCTTGTTTGACATGATCTGAACATGGTTTTGCATGAGCGACAACATGGAGTATAATCCAATCCGTCCACTCAATGACAGCGCTGTAATTCAAATAATCCTACGGGATTTCTGCTGAAGCATCAGCTTGACAATGACAAGTCTACAAGATTAATATACTTACGCATAGTGGTCGACCGATATGGGTTTTTTGACAGCCGATGCCAATGCCGATGCCGATATTTTGGAAAGCAGGGTGGCCGATATAATTTTATTTATTTTAATTTATATTTAAGAAATTTGAAATCATTTCAAAATGGATTAAAAATAACTGTGTAAAATAAACATACTTATACTTTAGAAGACAAAGCATTTTTCATAAATAAATAAATATTTTATAAAAATCTAATTAAAAAGGAAGTAAACACGGTAACCAACAGGGCACTCAGTATTCTGGGAAGTTTGTGTGAATCTTTTTTTTTTTTTTTTCAAATAAAGCCAAGGTAACACTAATTTTACATACAGCACGCAATGAAAATGACATGA